CTCATGTGCCTCATGCTGAAAGCTCAGCACTTCAGTGTATCCACTGGCCTTTAATGCGGTCTGGTACACGGGGCTGCATTGTTGAATGCCTCGGCGTCGATTGATATAGCGGTAAGGCGCTTGTTGTCAGCAGCAGGGGTGTTTTTGGTGATCCCAGCTTGCTGACGTAGAGTGGGTTGTCATTTGGCTTTCGGAAGGGTTGAAATTTCCGGGCGTCCAGGTTCATCGTAACATCCAAGAAATCCACCACCTTCAAGATTGCTTCGATGGTAATTCTTCGGTCGAAGCCCTTTAAAATTTCCCTCAGCTTTTTTCCTGAGGCGGTCTGCAGCCTGTTGGCTGGTGTCCTTGAGAGCGGCCAGTCCTGAGGCTCTATAGAGGCCGATAGCGGATCTATCGACATGGGAGCCGCAGCCAGCAAAAATGGTACTGTAGGGTGAATTTTTGGAAAACGGTTTTTTTGCTCCAAAACACTTCTTCATATGTGAATTATCATTCCTGATAGTTTGAACGTATTCTAAGGTGCTGGGGGTGGTTAAATACCACTATAATATGTACAAGGGTGTCCAGATTGGCAATTGCTGTCAGCTTACTTCTGCATTGTAGTTAGTTATAAGTCCTCTGCCATGCCCTCCGCCTCTTCTTGGCCTGTGGCATTGCTCCTGGCGAGTGTGCTGAGGTAGCTCAATCTGTTGGGCGAAGTCGAAAGGTATGTGGGTAGAAGATGCCTGTGTATCTGTATCCGTTGTTTGGCTTAGCTCATCCCTGGCATCACTAATTGATTTGTTGTAGTACTGTCGTGAGTTCCCTTCGAAGTAGATATTTTCATTATCGCTGCAAGTTCGCCCAGCACGTACCGCTTCAGCTCACTCCTCTTCATTGCTCTCAAGTTACATACCAGTTCCTCGAGCTGGTCCGGAGGTAGCTTGGTCCAATGATTCACTTTGCATTTGCAACCGATGTCCAGTGCGTCGCGAACCATTGCCGCTGCCGCTCCACTTGCTGCACTCGTTGCATCGCTAGTGGTATCCTCTGCATCGCCGAAATACTCGTCATCGCTGCTCTGCGACTCCAGCGGTAAACAGGTCCGCTTTTCTGCAGGTGCGTCGGAATCTGAGTCGTCTGAGCCAGACGATTCGGCGATCGTATCACTGCTGTTTAGGCCGTAAACACTTTTGTCATGTTCCCGTAGCGCAGCTAGGTGGTCAACGCTCGCACCGCAAATTTCTAGGCTTCGTCTTCTACTCGTGCATGCCATGACACTCCGTAGCTTCTCTACTTTCACTACGCGTCTTGCATGCACTCACACTTGTTGAAAGATGAAGTTGCGCCACTTGATACCTTGTCAAGATAAAAACAATAATCTTGAAGCGATCCTCATCAAGGAGACAACTCGTAAAAAGTACAAAATCACCTCAACTCAAAAAGATTTTTTTCAATTCCGAACTTCAAACTCCCATTCTGAACAATTTCCGTATTTTTCTATTGTACCTTTTTTGCTGGCCGCGGCTCAGATTGGATTGAGAGCTGGTTGAGAAGAAAGACGCCCACAAGTTCGCACGTGTCGGCGCCATCGTAACTTCCCATTGTTACTCTGCTCACGCCTGCACTTTGCCTGAGCACCCCAAAAAAACAAATAATTATCATTATATTGGCGGGATCCGCGTCGGCATCGCTTGAATGTTCAGAAATACACAACTGTTGTTGTTGTTGTGTTTATTTTAATTCGCAAACCAAACGGGCAGATCTGCCCAATGAAAAGGTGGCGAATGCAGATAGAAAGCAGGAATAAATGAAATTGGGGACTGATGTAATTAGGATAGAGGTGGAGAAAAACTAAGCCAGCTGATCATCAAACAGGACGTTTGGTACTCTAGGTACTATTAAAGGCCAGTAAGTGTGTGCGGGATCATGCTGGCGCGGAACTGGCGGAGCGTGGAGATGGCACGTACATCGCTGGGTAATGTGTTCCACAGCTGGGCGCCCCGGAACGTGAGGCAACCCTTGCCGAACCTGGTGCAAACTGGCGGTTGGCGCAGACCCATGGTGGAGTGCAACCTAGTTGGGCCAGCTGACGAAGGAACTAGGAGGGCTTGCAGTTCAGAACTTGCGTGCTCATTCCGAGACCTCCAGACCAGAACGATGAACTTCTGCCTGAATATCTCGGATACTCTGTAGGTGTCCAATTGCAGCAGGAGGGTACGCGCGGAGGTGTGATGCGAGAGTCCGAATACCGCCCTTGCCGCCCGATTCTGCATGACTTGTAGCCGATCCAATTGGTTGGCAGTAAGAAGCGGGGAAAACGCATTGGATCCGTACATCAGGTCAGACATGATGATCGCTTTAAAGTAGAGAACTCGGCTCTGATGAGTCAAGCAGCGACGCAACCTCCATAGTGCTCCGATCCTCTGGGCCAGTCGAGCGGTGCAGCGATCAACATGGGGCGTCCATGACAGATCCGAGTCGAGGAGCACTCCAAGATACTTGGCCGCAGTAACGACAGGAATCGGCGTTTCATGACAGTTAACATTGATCGTATGCTGGGGCTGCTGAGGCTGCCTGTTGGGGTATACAGGGATCACGTGGCTCTTGGCTGCATTCAAAATGAGACCACGGGTCTGCAACCAGTCAGCAAGTGCAGAAACCGAGGCCGATAGCGTAGCAGATACCGTGTCCAGGGATGTGCTGCTGCTGATCAGCGCAATGTCATCGGCAAATTGAACTGATGAAGACTGGTTAGCTATGGTTGGAACTTCGCGGGTGTAGATACTGAAAAGGCTCGGTCCTAGAACAGAACCTTGTGGCACGCCACAGGATGGTGCAGAAATGGCACTCTGATCCCGTCCAATACAGATACGCTGAGTACGGCCCGACAGATAGGCGGAAAACCACTTTAGGGCTGTCCCTGTTATGCCGATATCGAATAGGTCCTGGAGTAGCCGTTCATGACGAACCTTGTCGAATGCCTTTGACATATCTAGAAGGCATATGCCAGTACACAAACGCTTGTCCCGTGCACTAAGAATACGATTTAGCATAAGTACCAGGGCATCCTCCGTTGAGTGGCCTGCGCGGAATGCAAACTGAGTCGTGGGGAGGGTACCAGATATGTCCAAAAACTGGGCTAGCTTCTTTTGTACGATTTTCTCCAAGAGTTTTGATAATATGGGAAGTAGGGACACTGGACGGAAGTTAGCGGGAATAGACGGGTCCCCAGCTTTGAACAGCGGGATAACGTGTGCGAGTTTGAAGGCTGTGGGGACAGTGCCATTGACAAGCGAGGCATTAAACAACGTGGCCACGGACGCAGCTAGGATATCGGCACAGCACTTCAGAAGGTGACCAGGTATCCCGTCGCTTCCTGTTGCTTTGGCAGGATTGATCTGTCGGAGAAGCCGTTCTACGCATCCGCAGGCCACCACTATGCCTGTTCACCTTAGTGGCGAATGCAGACCTCATAAGTGAGTCAGGGGAGAGGAGGTTAGTCTCTCAACCAATCGGGCGCGTAACGGCCCTGTAAACTGCATTCTTGTTATTCTCATTCCGAGCTGTGAGTACCCAGTTGACCGTGGCCCGGGTGTCGGCACAGTTCAACACGCGTAAAAGGTGTTTTTACACGCTCCCTGCTACCAGCGCGGGTCATGAACTCGGGATCTCATGATTCGCAGGCAGGCCTGCAAAGCAATCGGCCATATGCGTTGGGAATCCCAATATCAATTATTATTATTACCGGTAATAACAAAATCCCTTGGCCTGTTGTTGGCTATGCCACTCTGCTCACATCTGCCCGTCGCCAAAAGACCATCTGCTGTACACTGCCTCCCCATCGCCTCTTTCTGCGCATTCATGCTCACACCTGCCTGTTGCCCGCCACCCTCCTGGCAATTCTACTGTCGAACCTTGGTCCGCGCCAGCTTTCTTCCTATACCTTACACCAGATTAAGCGCTAAATTTGTTTATGCTTGTAGCCCTATGTGTTTATAAGCATACTATTGGGTAGACCCGAGTTTCAGTTGTCTGATGATTTTCTAACGGCATGATACGAGTTACAAACAACCTGAACGTCCTCCGCTGAGTCTGCAATGAACTAAGCTCTGTCTCCGACATTGAGCACTCTCTGCAGCTTTGGTCCTTTTCTCTTACATATTTTTATTCGCTCAACATCCGAGTTGTATCATTCATTCGACTTCTCCTTTTGCCGTGATTTAGTCAACTTAACACTTCAGGGACAGCCAGACGCATGCAGGGATGTCAACTCAACACTTCAGAGACAGCCAGGCACATGCACGGATGCCTCTCAACTGAACTTGCAATTTTTAAAGGTATGCACTTTGGCCCCAAACCTCTTGTCAAAGATGTGCTTCATTACCTAGTATTATTGTTGCAGTATGCCAATCTATGGCATTTCCTGAGAAAATCCTGCCTACGGTTGAAGTACAACAATGGCAATCAATTTTTTTTATCCCTCCAAGTCTCTACCAACGCTTTGGAAATGAGTTTCTTTGCCTTTGATATGAGTTAGTGCTAAAACAGCACCAGCATCAACATCAATAACTAACACTTTCTCACACACTCTATATCGCGCTACTTGTGCCACTTGTTCCTAACTGTGTCTTGTCACCTTGTTGTTTTTATTTATTTATTATCATTCGTTCTCACTTTTTTGTTGCTGATACACACTTTGTCACACATATCATAATGGTAATTGTTATGCTGGACTTGCCACATTCATGGTACATGTATATAACGGTACTCTTACGGCAGGGTCAGTACCAATTTTCGTCTGATGATCGATTAATTTCGTGAAACTCAGAGTTACGAAACCGAAACTGCTCGTTTTGCTGTCTGTGTATAAAATAATACAAAAATCATCACTAGTAACAGTAGCATCAACTGCAGCAGAAGCAGAAGCAGCAGGAGCACTACCTGCAGCAGTAGCAGCAGCAGCAGCAGCAGCAGCAGAAAGAAAAGCAATGTTAAAATCAGTGCCGTCCCCATACCTTTACAGATCAGTAGCTCTCCGTCCCATTTTCCCTCATTGCCATTCACACCACATGTCCTAGTTGTCTGACCTCCTGCTATCTCGTACGCATCATCACAGGAATACGTCACGGTGGAATTATAGGTAAAATTCGTTCCATTGTAGCTACCGTTGGAGATGTTTGAAGGTTGTCCACATGAGATAATGTCACATGTTATATTAGTGGTCTGCCAAATCTCGCCAAGAAGACACTGCACTGATGCGTTGGCAGTGCTTGGTGTGTAACCATAGCGACAGGTGATGGGCAGAGACTTGTTTACCTGGACTGTGTGATGAGCCCTAACAATTTGACCATTAACAGGTGTAGGAAAGCTGGATGTATTGCACGGAATAGCTGGAACAAGAAAATAAGAACGGATGTTCAGGAATGGATAAAAAGAAGGACAACACATTACGAGTTCTGACTAACTGGGTGTACTCGAATAGAATGTAGCCCAAAAGAAACTGTGATTCCCTTTGAAAGTCTGCTAGAGAAGCCCAGGAATGCTGTATTTACGCCTTATTTCCAAATTACCCCCCCCCCCCTCCCGGACCTTTCTCATAGTAACATTTGGCCGTTGTCGTACCAATTTTAAAAGCTCTCCTATGCCCCTATCTTCTGACCTGATTTCATCTACAGATGCGTTAAGCCCGTGAATTGTTGCACGAGTGACATGTGAACCAAATTTACTTTTATCATTGTTATTCGAGTTTAGAAATGTGAAGTGAAACATGGATGCAAGTTATGAGGAAGTTCACACTTCATTTCTAGGACACTATGATGGACGAGTTGACTACAATAACAAACAGTTTCACAGCGATTTGGAAATGCGTTAGAGCTAGGTATTGTATCAGGTTGTTTGATGTCTCAGTACTCTGTCAGGTTTGTGACTACAAAATTAATGTACTTCAAGTAGTTTTTGCACTAAGGTCAAAGACTCGTAACATTTTGTCATTCTTCTTTTTATAATAATCAAATGTTGTCACCATGTGAGTTCAATTCTGTTGTCTGAGTAACTTATTTCCCTTGATCATTTCACATGTTTACAATATACTAGTTGTGTGCTGATGTTCACAGGCTGGACTAGCAGCAGCAACAGCAGCAGCAGCAGCGGCAGCAGCAGCAGCAGCAGCAGCGGCAGCAGCAGCAACAGCAGCAGCAGCAGAAAGAAAATCAATGTCCAAATCAGTGCCGTCCCCATACCTTTACAGATCAGTGGCTCTCCTTCCCATTTTCCCTCATTGCCATTCACACCACATGTCCTAGTTGTCTGACCTCCTGCTATCTCGTACGCATCATCACAGGAATAGGTCACGGTGGAATTATAGGTATAATTCGTTCCATTGTAGCTACCGTTGGAGATGTTTGAAGGTTGTCCACATGAGATAATTTCACATGTTATATTAGTGGTCTCCCAAATCTCGCCAAGAAGACATTGCACTGATGCGTTGGTAGTGCTTGGTGTGTAACCATAGCGACAGGTGATGGGCAGAGACTTGTTTACCTGGACTGTGTGATGACCCCTAACAATTTGACCATTAACAGGTGTAGGAAAGCTGGATGTATTGCACGGAATAGCTGGAACAAGAAAATAAGAATGGATGTTCAGGAATGGATAAAAAGAAGGACAAAACGTTTCGAGTTCTCACTAACTGGATGTGCTCGAATAGAATGTAGCTCAAAAGAAACTTTAATTCCCCTTGAAACTCTGCTAGATCAGCCCAAGAATGCTGTATTTACGCCTTATTTCCAAATTACCCCCCCCCCCCCTCCTGGCCCTTTCTCATAGTAACATTTGGCCGGTGTTGCACCAATTTTAAAAGCTCTCCTATGCCCCTGTCTTCTGAGCTGATTTCATGGACAGATGCGTTAAGCCCATGAATTGTTGCATGAGTGACATGTGAACCGGATTCACTTTTATCATTGTTATTAGAATTTAGAAATGTGAAGTGAAACATGAATGCAAGTTATGAGGAATGTCACACTTCATTTCTAGGACACTATGATGGACGAGTTGACTACAATAACAAGTAGTTTCACAGCGATTTGGAAGTGCGTATGAGCTAGGTACTGTATCAGGTTATTTGATGTCTCAGTACTCTGTCAGGTTTGTGCCTACAAAATTAATGTAGTTGTTGCACTACCTACCTGTACACTAGTATCTCGTTACAGTGTTAGACAGTTACTCTTAACTCGTGTCCATGCATGTGTTCCACTCCTTCTCCGTTTTACAATTTTTTTTATATTAGGAGCTCAACATTCGGGGGTCCAATTGTTAGAGAAGATAATTATTGTGTTGAATAGTTTGCAGGCAACCTGCCTACTCTCAAGAGAGCACTGCATTTCACACAAATCCATTAGAGTTATCGTTTCAACGTTTCGATCTGCATGACCATCATCAAGAATGAAGTGAACATAGACAAAACAGCAGTCCAAAAAAGGAAACAAAGCACGGTACCTAGAGAGAGTGTGCGTAGAA